TCAAAAACATTATTCCTTAGGAGGTGTATCCATTTCATGTGATTGCTATAACAAATCACAGATTTGGTGCTTATAAAAGCAGACATCTACTCTCTCACAAAGGAACTCTGGTAGCGTAATAGTTACGAGTCAGGCTGCTAACCTCAAGGTCATCAGTTTGAAACTACCAGCTGTTCTGTGGGAGAAAGATGAGGCTTTCTGCTCCTGTAAAGACTCACAGCCCTGTACAGGGTCGCTATGGTCGGAACCAGTTCCACAGCACACCACCACTCTCTCAAACAGCAGCACTCTCTCACACTTCTGGATGCCAGAAGTCCAAAATCAGTTGTTATGGATTAAATTGTGCCCTCCAATACTGAAACCCTAACTCCTAGTACCTGTGACAATGACTCTCTGTTCATTGTTCTTGTTGTTGTTGTTAAGTGCTGTTGATTTAGTTTCGACCCATAACGACCCTGTATAGGGTTTCCAAGGAGCAGCTGGTGAGCTTGAACTGCTGACCTTGTGGTTCAAAATGACTTTGCAGTCCAGTGCATTAGCCCATAGCCACACCAGGACTCCTGTTTGTACATTTGTTGTTGTTGTTGTTAAGTGCCATCAAGCCGGTTCTGACCCTGCAGAGGGTTTCTAAGGAGCAGCTGGTGAGTGAGCTTGAACTGCCAACCTTGCAGTTCAAATGGCTTTGCCATCTGGCGCATTAACCCACAGTGCCACACCAGGACTCCTGTTGGTACATAGGGTCTATGAAAATATCAGTTAAGCTAACGTGGTTAAACTGGGGTAGGGTAGGTTGTAATCTAATATGACTTGTAGTCTCATCAAAGAGGAGAAGAGATAGACACACAGAGAAAAAATGGTATGTGAACACCAGGGCATTGAAGGAGATGTCTGGAGCTACCTGAAGCCTTGAGACAAGAAAGGATCTTCCCCTAGACACCTTTCAGAGAATACGGTCCTGCCAACACCTTGAATTCAGATTACTAGCCTCTAGAACTGGGAAAATAAATGCATGACTTGGTAAGCCACCTAGTTTGTGGTGTTTTGTTATATCAGTCATAGGAAACTAACACTTTGATATTTGAAATTAACGTGTCAGCGGACCATGCTTCTCTTAAAAGGCTCTAAGGGAGAATCTGTCCCTTGCTTCTTCCAGTTTCTGTGGCTGCTGACATTCCTTATCTTGTGGCCACATCACTCCAGTCTTCAGAACCAGCATCCCCAAATCTCTCTGTTGTGTCTTTACATTGCTTACTCCTCTGTGTGTGTGAAGTCTCCCTCTGTCTCACTCATAAGGATACATGTGATTGAAATTAGGGCCCACCCAGATGATCCAGGATAGTATCCCATTTCAAGATTATTAATTTATCACATCAGCAAAGACCCCTTTCCGAATAAAGTCATGTTTACAGGTTCTTTCTGGTGTCGCTGTCGGATAAGCATTGGACTTCTAACTGTAAGGTCAGCAGTTCAAATCTATCAGCTGCTCCATGGGAGAAAGATGAAGCTTTCTGCTTCTGTAAAGATTTACAGCCTCGGAAACCCTACAGAGGATCACTGTGAATTGGAATTGACTCGATGGCAGTGGTTTTGACTTTGGTTTGGTTATTTAAATTCTAGGAGGCCTAGTGGTGCCGTAGTTAAGTTCTTAGCTGCTAACCCGAAACGTCGGGGGTTCAAACCCACCAGGTGTTCTATAGGAGAAAGATGTCAGTCTGCGTCCATAAAGATTTATAGCGTTGGAACTCCTAGGGGGCAGATCTGGCCTGTCCTGTAGAGTTAGAATCAATTTAGTAACAGTGGATTGGGTTTGGGTATTTAAAGGTTTGTTGTTGTTGTTGTTAAGCTCTGTCAAGTTGGTTCCAACTCATCGTGACCCTGTATAGGGTTTCTAATGAATAACTTTGAACCACAATGCCACGTGGTTCAAACCTTTTGATCCAGTGCTTTCTCCTACAGCACCACCCCAGGACTCTATTTAAAGGATAAGGACCTGATGTTTTGAGAAGTTGTGATTTAACCCACTGCAAGACGTAGGATAACCTGAGTAAACTTTGCCTTTGAATAGCTTGATAATTTACTCCCTATTGGATTTTTAGAAAAGAAATTTCAGCCTTTCTCTACTTTCTTTTTACTGAGGCTTATATTTTTTCAGTGAGACGTATTTGTTTCCTCAGGGTGATGTAACAAAAATGCGACATACAGAGTGGTTTAAAATAACAGGAATGTATTGTTTCACAGTTGTTGGGGCTGGGATTACAAATTCAGGATGTCAGCAGGCTTGTGCTCCCTCCCATGTTTCTAGGGGAGAATCCTTTCTTGTCTCTTCCAGCTTCAAGTACACAGGGGATGCCCTGTGTGTAGATGCACCTTGACGTGGCTGTCTTTCCTCTGTCTGTCTGTGTTTCTTCTTCTCTTTCAAAAGGAAACCATTCAGATGGATTTGCTGTTAGTTATTAGGCATGAGTCAAGTAATTTCTGACCCATAGTGACCCAATGCCCAACAGAATGAAACAGTGCCCAGTACTGTTACCTACTCCCACCCTACTCCTATATAACCTCATGTTAACCTGATACATCCTCAGAGACCTTATTTTCAAACAAGCTCACATTCTCAAGTACCAGGAGTTAGGACTTCAACATAAAACTTTGAGGCAAGGGGAGGGGACACATTTCAATCTATAGCACATATGTTCTTAGAGAATAGAATAAAAAGTATGATTTTTAACAGACAGGGTCTTTCTAACTTCAGGGTTCTAGTGACTGAGAGATCAGGGAAAGGTGCCCCAACCTTTAGTGCCCCTCAGTTAAAACTCATTCTGTTTTTCTTGCCATAAAGGAAAATGTCAAAAAGAATGGGCCACTGTGCCCATGTCTGTTTGGATGATAAATGTACAGGTAAATACTGGTCATTTCATTAAAAAGTACACATGTGTTTTCTTCAAAATACACTGTACCTCCTGATCCTAGGAATGCACAAAGACACTGAGATTTGGATGACTTTTCAGTTTGGCACCAAGTGAAGCAAAAGAGGGAGGCTGGGCTCCTCTCTTACATTTTTTAACAATTCTCTATACCCACCTACTTTGAAGTGGAGTCCTGGTGTGGCACTATGGGTTAATGTGCTGAACTGCAAGGTCGCTTTGAACCACAAGGTCAGCAGTTCAAGCTCACCAGCTGCTCCTTGGAAACCCTATAGGGAGTTGCAGGTTGCCTTAATGGCACTTAACAACTTAACGACAGCTTTGAAGTGAAGGACCCCTGATGACACAGTGGTTAAGTGCTCAGCTGCTAGCCCAAAGGAAAGGTCAGCTGTTAGAACTCACCAGAGGCTCCATGGGAGAAAGCTGAGGCAGTCAGCTTCTGTAAAGATTACAGTCTTGCAAACACTACGGGGCAGTTCTACGTTGTATTCTAGGGTCGTTGTGATTCGCATTGGACGTCATGGCAATTCTTTTGGATTTACTTTGAATTGAAGGAGCCCTGATAGTGCAGTGCTTAAGTGCTTGGGATAAATGACCCGGTGATCTGCATCTGTAAATATTACAGTCTAGGAAACACTTTGGGGGGCAGTTACTCTTCCTATAGTTCACTACAAGTCGAAATCAATTTGAAACCACACAACAAGAACAACTTTGAAGACGCTCTTCCACAGCTTACAGGGATGAAGCACGCTATCTCATGTGCTAGGCTGCTGTCAAATACTACAAATGGGTAGCTTCAAAAAACAGATACTTATTGTCTTACAGTATTAAAAGCTAAAAGTCCAAATCAGGGTATCAGCTATAGGGGAGAGTCCTTCCTTGTTGGTATCCCCAGAATTCCTTGCCATTCTTTGTAGATTTCAAGTGTATGCCATTTTCAAGTGTGTAGTTTCAAGTGTACTTTACAAGTCTTTCAACTCTTAGTTAAATTCATTCCTAGGTATTTTATTCTTTTAGATGATAATGTAAATGAAATTGTTAATTTCCATTTCAGATTGCTTATTGATACACAAATGATTTATGTGTATTGATCTTGCATTCTACAACATTGTTGAATTAGTGTATCAGCTCTGGTAGCTTTCTTTTGGATTATTTGGGATTTTTATGTATTGTAGAAATGGCATGGTAGAAGTGTTTGACTTTCACTTCTTGCAGGGAAGAAAGAATCACCATCAGCATCAGCCTTAGACACACCTCCTCTCTCCAAACTTTTTTTTTTAAACCAATTCTGATAAGAGGTGTTCCTCCTATAGCATGCTACTTCTCTGCTGGGTTCAGTAATTCTTTGTAATGGCCATGTAGAACTCAGAGATAATACTTATGCTTATGGGATTTGTTAGGCAAGTAACCGGTGACAATTCAGAACTGGGACTAATGTTTGCGTAATGTTACAAAGCTCTTTAGCTCTACCAGTAAGTGCCCCAAAACACCCCACTCCATCAGTAAACCTCGTATGCTCAAAGGTACTCAACTCTCTCACTTTGTGGGTCTACAAGCATAATGTTGTCAAGTACCTGGAAGCATCCCACTCTGCCAGTAAGCCTCCTGCCCAAAGCTGTCCAGCTCTCCTACTCTGTGGGCTGAGGAACCTACCGTACCATCTCGTGTTGATCTCTGGGTTCTTTTGTCTCTGCCACCGCTGTTTCTCTGATGCTGCTCATCACTATCTTTTGCCATCTCCAACATTACAGCTGTCTGTCTCCTGGGTCTAGGCAGTTCCCAGAGTAGGGATGCTTCATGTTAAACCTATCAGGATGGCTAAACTGACCAATCTCTTCATTAGGGTTCCATGAACCTTATTTACATTATTATTAGCAAACTGTTCAATTCCTTTGGTGAACCACAAGCACTTTCTTTGCTTTGTCGTACCCAAAGTTTTGGTGGGAGTTACGAGACCAGAATCAACTTGAAGGCAATCTGTTTGGTTTTTTGGTAAATAAATCAAAACTATATTACCTACTTCAGAAAATAAAGCAATCCTTTGATGTTTTATGAATTGTCTGTTTTGTGCTTTTGTAGACTGTCCTCCTATCTGGAACTACATGACCTTCAATGTCACCAGCAGCAGTTTTCAAGTGTCTTGGAGTTTAAATTCCACCCGGAACCACACTTTCCAAGTCCAGGTTTACAAGGGTCAAGAGTTAGTCAGAAGTGCCAGGACCAGAGAGACGACCTTGGAGGTGGTGGGGCTGGAGGCCGGAGTTCTGTACGGGGTAAAGATCAGTTACCAGGAATGTGGGCCCAACGCCACCGCCACGCTGACTTTAAGAACAGGTATGGCCACTTGGCAGAAAGTCATCTGTTGCTTCTCAAGTTTGTTTTTCTGTCTTAGCCTCCTATAGCTGCTGTGACAAAATACCCCAAAGGGGCAGACATTTATTGTCTAATAGGACTTAAGGTTAGAAGTCTGACATCATCAGACTGTTGGCCACTCTGAACCCACATGGGTTTTTTCAATGGATCCGAGAGCAAATCTGTTCCACGCCTCTCTCCCAGCTTCCCATTTCTTGGTTTGTAGATGTACCAATCACATAGCACCCTTCTCTCTCTGGTGTCACCTTTTCTCTTGTAAGGACACCACCAAGAGGTTAGAGCCCAACCTACTCTGGTACAACCTTATGTTAAGTCTAACAGATAACATCTGCAAAGATCTTGTTTCCAAACAGGGTCATGTTCATGGGTATTGGGGATTAAAACTTCAGCACACCAATTCAATCTTGAAGCTTTCTATCATGGTTCTCAGGACATCTAATCATTGTCTTCCTATAATGAGGGCCCGGGACGTAATTGTTTGCCATGGAGGGAGTATGAGGACACTGAGTCCTGAGCATTGCCTAGTCTTGGCCAACACATGCTCCCCTTGCTTCTGTTCATCTCCTGTGGTTTGGACTTACTATGACAACTAAAGGGACTTGATATGGGCTCTGTGGATACTTCATTCCAGTTTGAAGAATTTATAACAGATTTACGTCCCTGGCTGGTTTAAATGGTTTGAGTCCAGCTACTAACAGGGAGTCCTGGTGTGGTGCTGTTGGTTAATGCACTGGACTACAAAGTCCACTTTGAATTGGGAGGAATTCCATTCAAGCTCACCAGCTGCTCCTTGGAAACCCTATACAGGGTCGCTGTGGGTCAGAACCCGACTCGATGGAACTTAACAACAACAACAACACTAACAGAAATGAATCCTGGTGTAGTGCTGTATAATGATCACAGGACTGCTAACCTCAAGGTTGGCAGGTCAAACCCACCAACCACTTTTTGGAAACCCAATACCAGGTTACTATGAGTCAGAACCAACTGGACAACTAACAGAAAGATTGGCAATTCCAATCCACCCGGAGACACCTTGGAAGGCAGGCCTGGATATCTATCACCACAGGATTACAGCTATTGTAAACCCTACAGAGCTGTTCTACTCTGAAAGGCATGGGGTCACCATGAGTCAGAATTCGCTCAGTGACAGCAGTATAATGTGTTCCGTTTGTTGTTGTTGTGAAGTGCCGTCGAGTCAATTCCGACCCATAGTAAACCTGTATTGGGTTTCCAAGGAGCAGCTGGTGAGCTTGAACCGCCAATCTTGCAGTTCAAACGGCTTTTCAGTCTGGTGCGTAAACCCACAGCACCACACCATTTAGGTAGGGGGAGGCAAAAGGTGCAATAAGGTACCTTTTTTATATTTAAAGACCTTTGCCACCCTTGATCCCACAGACCTGGGTCTGTATAACTTTCCAAACCGGAGTTCAGCCTCACATTAAAATATACACAAAGCATGCCTCATTTCTCAGGGGACACACATGAAGAGCTAACACAGTGAACATTCATTTGCGCCCCCAAGCAAGCACAAGCCAAATATGATCTCATTTCCAGAAGGCAGCTTGCCTGACCCGCTACCATTCCATGACCCATGCTGCCTTCTCTCTGGTCGTCAGTGGTACCTGGGTAGTGTACCTCTGTCCAATTTGGCAGGGGTGATGGAAGTTCTCCCCCAGCCAGGTCCTACAGCTTCCAGGGTGAGTGTGTGGGAGGCTTCTGGGGTGGGTGCAACTCTAAGACATTCTGGTCCAAGGGTTCTGAATATGTGTGCCCTTGATCTGGGTCCTGGCTCAGTAGTTCAGCAGAGGATAAAGAGGCAGAAATCGCTGTGTGGAAGATTCTACCCCATACACAGAAATGAGTCCTAATGGTAAGATTGGAGGCATTAAATGAAGGAAAGGAAGAACAGGCCTTCAATGAAAGGATCTTATACTCTTTAAGAACTGCTTTTGGGCTGATCCTATGCTAAACGGTCATAATTGGCAAGGTAGATCCCCAAAAGGGTGCTGCAAGGCCACAACCACATAAAATGCAAGATCACTTCCATGGACCCAGCAGGCTCCATCTCATTGCACCTCCACACTGCGCGCACGCGCGCGCACACACACACACACACACACACACACACACCTTTTATTCTCAAAATACTTAGGAGAAAGTGGCAGCTGCACTTGCGTTGAGGAAATTGGGACCAGAGAGGGAGTTACCTACCTGAAAGTCACCCATGAGTGAGGGCTGAGCTTGAGTTCATGGAATTCCTATATGCTACTTTCTCTGCACTCTGCAAATGCATCAAGCTCTCATCCCAAATCATTTCTAAAACCAGTTGCTGTCAAGTCAATTCTGATTGTAGATTTCCCCCAATTTGGCTACCCCAATATAAGACTGCAGTCCTGGTGTGGTTAATGCTGTGTGTTAACGCTGTGGGTTAATGCGCCAGACTGCAAAGCCGTTTGAGCTGCAAGGCCAGTGATTCAAGCTCACCAGCTGCTCCTCGGAACCTCTATACAGGGTCGCTATGGGTCAGAATCGACTCATCAGCACTTAACAACAACAACAACAATCTAAGACTAGAATCCTGGTGTGGTGCTGTAGGATAAGCACTGGATTGCTAACTACAAGGTTGGTGGTTCAAACCCACCAGTCACCCCTTGGAAACTTATACAGGTTTGCTATGAGTCGGAACAGACTCAATAGCACTTAATGATAGCAACAGCAGTCTAAAACTTATAGATTGAATTGTTTCTCCAGTGTGACTTTTGATGAAATGATTTCAAATAATTACTATCTGTCTCAGATGCCCAGGTATTTGAAGTCGTCATAAGGATTATCAACCGCAACTTCACGGAAAAGCTACGCAACCGCAGCAGTGTGGAATACCAGGAGTTTTCTAGACAATTGCTGCAGGAGGTAAAACCAGAGCACAGACACATGGGACTTTTCTTGGGGGTTCTGAGAGAGAACACCAAACATAAGCCAGCATTACCTGTCCAAACCTTCTCTGTGATTGCCACAAATTACATTTTACCACAGCTTCAGGGGAGGCTAAACCCAAATTGCACAGTAATTTCACATTCTTTTTTTTTTTTTTTTTTTCCTTTATGGGTTATTTGATCTAGATTTTGGAAATCCATTTTTGAAACATGAGCTTTGATTCAAATGGGCTGTACTCCTTGATTGTACACCTGGATTTTCTATTGAGCCTCCATCTGTGGCCTCTGTGTGATGTATCTTCCTGCAATGGTATAGCTTCATTAATGAAGCATTTGTCAGCGATCACCACATCCGTTTCTCTGTTGTGGCTAAAGGGAGACATCAGAACACACTCTAGATAAACCAGGCCAGTGTTAAATATTATCTATCCTTGCATAATAAATTGGGAGAAAGAATGACTTACTAAACTGAAAAAGGTCTGAGAGCCTAGAAGTCAACCTGCCACAATTTCATAGATACTGGTAGAAGACATGAGAGTCCTGGGTCAGGGACAAAGAACTTTATGATTTATAGAGAGCATCAGCTTCGTGTTCATATCAGCTCCCTTTGCCCATTGTGGTGACATGGAAGGGCCCAGATGGCTTTGTGTCAGAGCTGAGGAACCCCAAGCACAGGGAACCTGAATCTTTTACAGTAGGCCTAGATTTTTCTCCAGAGGGAGTCATTATCTTTTTTATCAAAACTAGTTGCCAGCAAGTTTATTCTGACTCATGGAGATCCCATATGTGCTTCTTGTTTTCAATGGCTGATTTTTTAGAAGTAGATCGCCAGGCTTTCTTTCTATGTTCCTCGGGATGGTCTTGAATCTCCAGCCTTTTGGTTAACAGCTGGAAAGGTTTCTTTATGATACTGGACAGGAAACAGATCTGCCCTTTGCTCTGGAGGGACATGCTGTATCTTCCAAGAGTGTTCACTCTACAGACATCCTTGAAAAGATATTCTAGAACAAAAGCAGTTAGTATCTCTCTGCTCCCAAGAAGTAAAGAAAAGTGTGAGACCCATGGAAACTCATCACCGAACATTCACCTGCAGGGGCATAAGGTTTTGAACTTTTAGAGAATCCCTTTTCTGAAGGATGATGTCGTCTTTGACCAGGCATGAGTGACTTTGAACACCTGGCTCTGCCTGTGTGTTTCATGGGGAGTATAGCCAGTCTGTATGTGTGTGTGTGTGTGTGAAGGGATAACTCCATATAGTCACAGGGATTGCTCCTCAATGGTCCCTGTTGGTCAGTCAGTCTATTCAATATTATGTCTCTCTGCCACTCTCATACCTTCATAGATATCTTCAGGACATCCAGAGGGACTTCTTCATTTAATGCTCCATAATTGGGAGCTTTATTACAGTAGCCATTTTGAACTCTCCAATAAACTCTAGACCTAGGCCAGGCTATTCCAGAGACAGCCCAGTTGGGGAGCAGTGAGTCAGGAGGGCATTTCTGCATGCCCCTCATAGGTTGGTTGCTGGGCACCTCCTCTTGATCTCAATGAAAACAGATAGATCCTGTGTATCCTCCATCAGTCGCACCTGGGTCCCTAGTAATGATTTTGAATATGTTGGAAACAAATATTCTATCTGAAGTATTGCTTTCTTGACTAGGTTGAAAACTCTTTCCCTCCGGCTGTTTCTAACTTGCACAGAAGTGGGAAGCTTCGGGTGGAGATTGTATCTCTCCGAGCTGGAAGTGTGGTTGTGAAGCTCAGACTCACAGTGCAAGATCCTGAGTTCCCAGTGTCTATTTCCACGCTCACGCCCATGCTCCAACCACTGTTTGCAAGCACAGTATTCCAAGTCGACCAACAGGGGACACTAGTGCAAGGTAGGCTCACCTCCCAAGCTTCAAGTGTGGCACCATGACACTCCTTTATCTTCTAGGCTACATTATTTTGGGTCAAAATATGAATAAAGTAAACCAAACACAAATTCTTGGTCTGTGTTCTTCACCTGAATCAGGCAGGCCTGAAACACACAGTGGACCTGTGTCTCACTTGCGTTTCATACCTGGTTGTTTCTCTTAAAGCTGGGGTTGAATTTACTCTCTATGAAGTGAAACTGTGGAGCTATCAGAGGCCCAGGGCACAGGAAAGCCTGACTGGGGGATCCCAAGAGGGTGTAAACCTTCTTGTGCTAATGTGTGGCTCTATTTCAGTAGCTCCTGGGGGGTGGGGGGGCAGTATTTATTGTACTTGGAGTTGCCTCAGGTAGGAAATTGATCAGAGGTCCTAGAAACTAGGGAGAAAGATGGGAAAAGTGGGAAGGAGAGAGAAAGGGACTGGATGCTGACATTTAAGGCAGGCTCTGCTGCTCAGATGCAGAGATGAAGGTCCTGTGTGCCTGTTAGTAGCAGCAGGGAAGTCTCTATTACAGCCAACAGCCTCAGTTTGGGGCAACATCAGTGGGATAGGAGGTTTCTCTGGGTTTCCCTCTGGGTCCTAGAGTGAGTTCTGTCACCTCCTTGTGTTCATATGAGTATGCTGACTCACTGGCCCAACTTACCTGTCACTCCCCAGGGAAGACCTGGAAAATACCTCTCAGCTCAGCCAGAGAGTTGCTCTGTTCAGTTAGCTGTTCACTACAGATTAGTAAGCATAAGTAAACCTGTGCTTAGCTTGCTTACAGGGTACTCTGCCCCTGCCAGGGATTGTAAATGTGAAAAGAGGCTTTGATTCTGTAGGAAGGTTATGTAGGATTGAGAGAGCGACAGATGTCAGCCATACCTAGAAACAGAATCTAATCTTTTCAGAAGTAGTGAAAAAACGTGGAATTGTTCACTAATTATTGGGTAACGTGATATTGCTCACAGCCTCTTGGACGAATTGCCACATAGCCCTCTGTAACTGGTTGGATTCCCACCTGGCTGGGCTGGGTAGGGGCTGGGGACTTGCAGGTGAGTCCTCATCCTGTGCTCCAATGGCCCACAGGCCCAAATCTAAGCCATCTTCAGGGGGCCAGCTGTCTGCCTTGATGCATCTGTTGTCCCCATGGAGCAGGGTTCAAATTGTTCCATGTCTCTGCTAAATGAGGATAATGGGATGTAGTGGGCTGAATGAAAGGCCCCAAAATAATATTTTAACTCAGAACTTCTGAATAGAACTGTATTAGCTTCCTAACGTTGCTATAACAAAATACAACAACTGGGTACATTTTTGTTGTTAGGTCGATTCAGTGTCTTAGTGACCCTATGCAAAACAGAATCAAACACTGCCTGGTCCTGCACCATACTCAGAGTTGTTGTTACATTTAGACCCATTGCTGCTACCATTGTGCCAATCCATATCATTGGGGGTCTTCCTCTTTCTCAATGACCCTCTACGTTTCCAAGCATGATGTGTTTCTCTAAGGCTGGTTCCCTCATAGTAGCATGTCTGAAGAATGAGAGATGAAGTCTTGCTATCCTGGCTTCTAAGGAATATTCTGGTTATACTTCTTCCAACACAGATTTGTTTGTTGTTCTTGCAGTCCATGGTGCTTTCAATATTCTTCTCCAACATCATGACTCAAATGTATCAATTCATCTATGGTCTCCCTTATTCTTTGTCCAACTTTCACATGCATATGAGGTAACTGAAAATACCATCGCTTGGTAAAGTATACTTTAGTCCCCAACTTGACAACTTTACTCTTGAATACTTTAAAAAGATCTTGTGCAATACATTTGCCTAATGAAATATATCATTTCATTTATTGACTCCTGTTTGCATGAGTGTTGATAGGAGATCCAAGCAAAATGTAGTCTTTGACAACTTCAATCTTTTCTCCATTTATCATGATGTTATTTATTAGTCCAGTTGTGAGGACTTTTGTTTTCCTTGTATCGTAGTGCAACCCATACTGAAGGCTGTAGACTTTGATCTTCATCAGTAATTATTTTAAGTTCTCTTTGCTTTTAGCAAGCAAGGTTGTATCATCAGTATATCACAGGTTGTTAATGAGTTTTTCTTCCAATCTTGATGCCATGTTCTTCTTCATATAATCCAGATTCTCGGATTGTTTGCTTAGCAGACTTATTGAATAAGTATGTTGAAATGAAACCATTCGGTATCACCTTGTTCTGTTCAAGAGGCGGCCTCTTGGTCTATGTACAGGTTTCTCATGGGCACAATTAAGCGTTCTGAAATAACCATTTTTTGCAAAGTTATCCATAGTTTGTTGTGTTCTACACAGTTGAAAGCATTTGTATAGTCAGTAAGCACAAGTAAACATCTTCCCAGGATTCTCTGCTTTCAGTCAAGATGCATCTGACATCGGCAATGATATCCTTTGTTCCATGTCCTCTTCAGAATCCAGCTTGGATTTATGGCACTTCTCTATATAATGCATCAAATCGATTCTTGATATGGTCTCTAAATTCACATGGAATATGTTCAAGATCCTGGTGTGGTGCTGTAGGATAAAGCACTTGACCACAGGTTGGTTTGAACCACAAGGCTGGTGGTTCAAACCCACCAGCTGCTCCTTGAAGACCTTATACAGGGTCAATAGGAGTGGGAACTGACTTAATGGCACTTAACAACAACAATGTTCAAAGTCATCTTTTGGCTCTCTTGGACTTATTTTCATTTTCCTTAGCTTAGTCTGAACTTGTATATGAGCAATTGATGATCTGTTTCACAGTTGGCTCCCCACTTGGTCTTGGCTGATGATATTGAGCTTTTGTAGGATCTCATTACACAGAAATAGTCAATCTGACTCCTGTGTATTCTATCTGGTGAGGTCCCTGTGTATAGTTGCCTTTTATGTTGTTGGAAAAAGGTATTTGCAATGAAGAAATCATTGATCTTAAATACTATCATGCGATCTCCATCATCATTTCTATCACCAAGGCCATATTTTATAACTACTGATCCTTCCTTTTTGTTTCTAGCCTTTGCATTCCAGTCACCAGTAATTATCAATACATCTTGATTGTATGTCTAATCAATTTTGCACTGAAGAGTTGGTAGAATTCTTCAATTTCCTCATCATTGGCTTTAGTGATTGGTATATAAGTTTGAATAATGGTGCTATTATATGTTTCCTTGTTTATTGTTGTTAAAGAGCTATTGAGCTAGCTCCAGCTCATAGTAACCCTGTATAGAGTTTCTGAAGAGTAGCTGGTTAGCTTGAACCACTGACCTTTCAGTTCAAACTGACCTTACAGTCCAGTGAGTTAACCTGCAGCGCTATACCAGGACTTCATGCTTTCTTGTAGACAGATGGATATTATCCTATTACAGGCAATGTTGTACTTCAAGATAGATCTTGAAAAGTTCTTTTTGACAGTGAACGTGGTACCATCTTTCTTCTGTCATTCTTGACACAGTAAAACATATGACTGTCCGATTCAAAATGGCCAATACCAGTCTTTTTTGGCTCAGTAATGCCTAGGGTAGCAATCTTTATATGTTCCATTGCATTTTTGACAACTTCTTATTTTCCTGGTTTCATACTTTGTACATTCCATGTTGCAATTATTAACAGCTATTTGCAGCTGCTTTTTCTCCTCATTTTGAGATGTGTCCTGTCCGAAAATGAAGGTCCTGACAGTACCAGCAGGGTCCTGTGTTGGATTAGGGGGAACCCTAAATCCAATCAATCATATTTTAGTACTCCACTATCCCTTTACCCCCACGAAGTTCCTGCATGGAAGGCAAGAATTCTACTACTCAACCATCGTTGCTCCCTCTGTGTCTAGTGGGAATCCCTTCCCCCTACAGGAGCCAGAGCTGACCTCACAGGACCACCCAAGCATAAGTCTGGTACACATTCCCAACAGCATCTCCACCACATCCTATCCTCCCCCTCACTCCTCTTGGCCTACAGAATGTGATTCCTGGGACTGGGCCACCCCTCTTCTCCAAGTCGCAGACCAGGGAAGAGTGGAGAGCAGCGCCCTCTCCAAGGTTCTAACTCAGGCCTTGTCTCATAGCCCAAGCGGCTGCAGGAGGCTGATTTGGAAGCTCTTCCTGCTTGTCCATCTGTCCTCTTTCTCTGAATCCAGCTTTTAGATGAGAGTAAATAAAGCTGGTTGGGTTGGGGTGCCCTCTTAGTTTGCTCTCTGCTTGAGGTGGGTAATTCTACATATCGAGCACAGACAACCCTATTCAGTAGGGTGATGTAAGTTGTCCCTCCTCTTCTAGGTGTCCCTCCATCCCTTCCAGCCTTGGCCTTGCAACACCATGCATCCCTGTAGGCTGGTAGTGGTGAAGCAGGGGTACAGAGCAGGCAGGGCCCAGCAGCAAAAGGGCTCTTCCCTGAGCCCTGAGATAACCCAGGCAACTGTTGCATTAGCAGGAGAGATTGCTGGTCCTAGGGAGAAGTTACTTTTGTAAAGCAAACCTGAAAACCACAGATGAGACTCTGAGTGTAATTCACTGTTGTTGTTCTTTTTCTGAACAAAACTGAAAACAAAAACAAACAACCCATCATTTGTCATCAAGTCGATGCCAGCTTGTGGCAACTGCATGTGAGTTAGAGTAGCACTGTGCTCCATTGGGTTTTCAGTGGCTGATCTTTCAGAAGTTGATCACAGGCCTTTATTCCCTGTCACCTCTGGGTGGACTTGAATCACCAACCTTTTGGTTAGCAGTTTGTTAACTGTTTGCACCATCCAGGGACTCTGGGCAAAAGAGAATGGGTCCTTTATCTTGATTTAAGTTCCATCCAGTCTGAGCATGCTCATCCCTGGATCACTCCTGAGTGTACCACTGACAGCTCTTGTGAAGTGTGTGCAAGAGAGCTCATGGCACCTGGGTGTTCACTGACACACCACAGAGAAACACGACCCTTCACGTGTCCTATCTGACCCCACCAGCAGAAGCAGTGCTTTTCAAAGTCCTTTCTTGGCAAACAAGCTCCAGTATTCTCCTACCCCACCCTGTTTATGTGGCATCTCAGTCCTGTTGGCCACTCTACTTCCCCATGATGACACCAGAACTGGCTCTGTGCTACAGGATGGAATTGTAGGGGTGTGATAAAACTGCCCTGCCCCAACTCCTCCATACCTGAAATATGTATTCCTTAAGGTTTGATTGCATGTTTATTGCATGTAACACAGTAAGGAAGGCAGAAGAAGAGTTGGTGCATTTTTACTGTGGTATTGATGACAAACATTGCAAAATACCATGGGTTGCAAAAAGGTTAAACAAATCGTCTTAGAAGAAATATAACTAGAATGCTCCTTGAAAGCCAGAAGGGTGTGACTTCAGCTTTCTTATTTTGGACGTGCCATTAGGAAAGGCCAAGTACTGGAAAGGACACCATGGTTGGTAAAGCAGAGGGTCAGCAGAAATGAGGGAAACCCCCCAATACAAGGTCTGACACAGTAGCCACACAAGGGAGGCACAACGACTGTCGTGGAGACAGTGGTGTTGGACCGGGCAAAGTTTTGCTCTGTCGGCGTACATAAGGTTGTTATGAACTAGAGCTGAGCAAACTTTCTGGTTTCACTGTTTTGTCTTCTGCCAGCTCTGATGATTAGAAAATGTGGGGTTGCTTGGACATGGGTAGTGAGGTGAGCAGTTAGGTGTCAGAGACTAGAGGGAGACTGTGGTATTTACTGAAATGGGGGTTACATAATATGCTTTATTGCCTCAACAAGAAGGACCGTACTTCCTGGTGACATACTACGGGGGTCTTTGAGCTTCAGGAACCATTCCCAGGGCATGGGAGAGGCACTCAAAGATCATTCCTGTACCTGTTGAGACACCTGGACACTCGTAACTGGTACGCAAAGTTCCTGTTCTACTTAACCTTACATTTCTTGAGTCAAATGTTTTTCTACTTCTTTGTCAAAACAAAAGGTATTAGGGGATGCTGGGAAAAAATCCCAATGTTCTGAGTCTAAGAACAAAGACTAAACACATTCACACTTTTGGGACGTAATGAAATACAATCACTAGGTGGGATTGTCTTATTTTTCTGGATTTCACAAGTTTTCCACCTTTGAGAGGTACACTTTTCTATTACTCAGTTCAGTGGAAAAAAGAGTTTTCCTTCTCTGTCAGGTTTCTTCCATGCACAGGTCTGGCTGTCATAGGTTTTACTGTACCACCACCACCAAAAAAAATTTAACTTTCATGTTCTTTGCTCCTTGTTTTAGTCAAGATTCTCCAGAGAAACAGAACCAATAAGATAGATGGTAGGCAGGCAGGCAGGTGGATGGATAGGTAGGTAGGTAGCTAGACAGAGACAGACAGACAGATAGATAGGTAAGTAGGTAGGTAGGTAAGTAGATAGGCAGGCAAGCAGACACACCAGCAGATAAATAGATAGATAGATTAGACATAGAGGCTTTGTATATATATGTGTGTATGTAAATATACACACATATATATGTATGTGTATACACACACACACACACAAACACACACACATATATATGTTGTTGTTATGTGCCGTGGTGTCGGTTCCGACTTATAGCAACCCTGTACAGG